GCCCTGTAGGGCCGAAAAATAAACGGGCCAGCCCTGTAGGGCCGCGGGCCGCCCCGTTTAAGCCCGCCAATAATTTTTTTTTAATTTTTATATTTTTTTCTTAACTTAAAAAGGAAAACCCTAACATTTTACACATAATATACTCTTAGTTTTACTTACCCCACCCCCACTGCTTACACAAATGGCATTCACAAAAAAGAAATCACCATAATTCTAAGTTATTAACAAAAAGGTTTATTATTTATAAGTTGTCAAAACCTATTAAAATACTGTATGTGTTATTTTACAATCTTTATTTATCATTTTTCATATTTTTTATACTTGAAATAGAATTGGTTAAGAATCTTTGAATTAAAATAAAAATCTATATCATTTTTATAGTTAGAAACAAATTTAGAACTATGGATGATGAACTCTTTTCTTTTTTGTCAGTAGGACAAACAATTATTTTTTATATATACTATGTTTGTTAGTTAAACTTTTTTGTTAATTATTTATAATTAAACAAGATCATCCATATTGTAATTATTTACTGAACTTAGTGTTTATTTAGTTGTTTATGTCTGTCCTCTATTTAGTTTGTTCATTCAATAAACTTTATTACACTGTGATAGATGTTTTAACATAATGATATTTATGTTTGTGACTTATTTTTATTTTTATTTATATCTTTTATTAGTAATTTTGTTGTTTCATTTTATTATTTCGATAAAATAGGCAAAGAAAAATAATAAAATACATTTTAGTTAAACGGGTCAAAAGCCCGCGGGCCAGCCCGAGCCCGTTATCTCACGGGCCGGGCTTGGGAAAATGCTTCATTTTTTGAACTCGGGCTTAAAAACGGGCCGGCCCGTTTAAGCCCGCCCCGTGACAGGGCCGGCCCGGCCCGTTTTCCCAGTGCTATGTAAGGTTGAGTGATAACAAATAATTTTAAGTAATTATATTTTTTTATTACTTCACTATAAACTAAAAAAAACTAAATTTATTATAAAAATATCGCCTTCACTCGAAAATTTAATTTTCTGTTAATAGCATAATATTCCTAAATGAAAAAAATCGTTGGAAAAGTTCCTCATTGCAAAATTTATTGTATAATTAAAGGTAAATTTATTTAAAAACTCGGATGCATATATGTTTCAACTAATGGATACAAATCTTCTTTAATTATATGCAATTTATTTTTTTCAGTTGTGATTCCATCTAGCTAAAGATAAGTCACACATAATTAGTTGATAAAGAAGAATTACACCTGCTTAATTAAGGACCGAATTCTTTAATATTTTTGTATGATAAATATTGTGACAGGAGATTTTCTTCTAAATGAGAACTAATATTATCTCTGATATTCAATATAAGAGTTAAATAATTAATTTATAAATACTAAAAAAATTAATTAAATTAGTTATTTATAATAAATATGAATTAGTTTTTGAAAAATACCATTTTCAATTATGTGCAATGTAACTGTCATTTAATGATAACTCCCTTGTTATATGCGATCAATAGAGATACTTTAAAAAAAAATTACAAATATGAGAAACAAAATAAATTAAATTTTTATATATTTTATCAAAATCAACTCTTTGTTTAACTCAAAGTTAGGCCAAGTTTCTCTCTTTTTTTTTTTTTTTGGCTTAAGCAGCCGGTATCATAAGTCAGGCCATTTTTCAAGCATAGCATTAGGCCCAGACTAATTCGGATTGAAACATGACATGAACTATTAAGGATAGCGTCCCTGGTCCTTAAAATGCTGCAAACTCGAAACCTATAGTTAAGTTAGAATAATCCAGTTAGCTAATCTAATAGTTAGGGTTTAAGTTTCTCTCCTTTAGTTATGGGCGGTTATCACATGCATCAATAGCATCGGAAGACATTATTCTTTTGTTAAACAATTTTTCTTGAGCAGACTTTTTAGTTTTTTTTCCCCCTCTTTTATCACTTCTCTTTTTCATTTTCACTTTTGTTATGTAAACTTTTAATTGTGATTAAACTAATACATTTTATCTTTTTATCAAAAAAAAAAAGGAAAGAAAACTCAGAGTTCGTGTAATTTAAAAGTTTGGCGTGAATTCAGGTGCCATCAAGTGACCTCAGATTTCGTTCAAGAGTGCATTATTGCTCAATCTGGTGAATACTGAAAAAGGCTGTTTTAAACAGAAGAGAGAATCAGCTTTCACAGGCCTTTAAATGATGTCTCAAGTCTTTTACGTACTATTTCCTGAATGTTTCACGTGCCATCTTATTTAATCCCTCCAGTCTTCACCGTACTTTATCATATCCCATATTATATGCATATTATCAATATTAAATCAATTGTTCTGTAGATTTTTAAGATCAACGTGTCATCAATATTATTCTACTCGTATACTACCCAAAAAAAAAAAAATTATTCTACTCGTATAAGATTATAAAGTGATCAGCGTCTTCTATCGTAGAGAATCTTCAGCTTTATATATTATAACAACGTGCTTGTTAGGTACTAATGATTTTTTTAAAATATATTTAAAAGATTGTTGGTTTAATGTTATTTATAATCTGGAGTTGTTAATATGATCTCATTAATTAGGTCTGTGTTTATCTGATTTGTTGTCAATTATGGGTTTGGATATATATGACCTTGAATTATTGATTGCATTAACATGTAATTATAAAAAGATGACAGTTTTATGATCTGTCATGTCTTTCAAGCACAGGTACGTATACTGTGTCCAATGTCACCGAGGAAAAAATGACATGCTCTGTCCAATTATTGATACATAAATGTGTGTGTGTATATACACATGTGCACATACTATATATACATTATACAATGCTTCCTTTTTGGATATACTCAAATTGAAATCTCCTCTGCCGTGGAGAATCTTCGTACCATTATTTGGATAGGCTTACAAGCTGGCGTGAGAGCGGCCGCAGTGCTTTTCTTAAAATAGTGTTTGGTGAGCTCCATTATTTTTTCCGTCCGGTGGGCATCAATAAATTGATTCGTCTCCGGTAAGGACTAATTAGAAATTTATATTAGTTCCGTATATAAGATTTATCTTATATATTTATCAATTTTTAAATTAATTTATTGATATTTTTCTAACAATAATCAAGAAAAAGAGGAAAGAAAAAAATTAAAAAAATATTTAGGATCTTTTAGAAAAAATATCATATTAAATAATTTAACTAAAATCTTTAATTTATTTAAATTAGTTACTCCTGTGGTTTTACTTATTAGTCACTTCTAATATGTTTCACATGCCCTAAAGAAAATCTTAAACTTTATTAACTCTCGTTTAAAATTTAACATTTTCTAACTTTATTCTTATTTAATATATACTATACCTTATCTAAATAAAGTCAACATAATAATAAATGAACAGTAAAATTATATATTCATATAAAAAATTTCTCTCAATATCTTATAAATAATATTAAAAAATACCTTCTTTATGCCCTAGAACCAAGGAATAATTGGGAGGACCGGACTTGGTCAAAAAGTAAAAAAATTGGGAGGACGACGATCATTTTAAAATAATGTACTGCATTAATTAATTATTTTGTCTGGGCAAACACGGGAAAGTAGGAATCCAAAGGACCCTGAACAGATCAGGCCGGTCGACAGAAATTTGCTGGACAACGTACTACCATGTTCATGTGGTATTGTTAATCTTATAACAGTTTGATAAAATTTCTTTCAAATTTTTCGGTAACTATGGGTTTGGACGAGTGAATTACAAGGACTAATAGACTAACTAGTTATATAAACCGGTGAAAGGGCGTTGAAAGTTTACGACAAAAAGTTATTCCATTCATAACTCAAATGTGGAATAAGGAAGCAAGAGTATTTATAACGTGCTTTTAAAAGGTGTTTGGATAGAAACCAAATCATGATTTTAAAAGTGATTTTATGATATGCGAGTGGAAGAATTTATCTCTATTTGTGAAAAAATACTTTAAAAAAACACTTATGAGAAAATTTGATTGTAAGGAAAACAAAAACGAAGGGTAGAAATTTTGGATTTTTGATGAGCCAATTTGGAAGAAAATTCACGATGGCTCATTTTAATTTGCGCGTGGTTAAGATAACTATCATGCATGTTTATTTTAACTTAACATTTTAAAATGGAATTTTACTAGAATACTTACGGATGAGTCTTCGTGCATGTTTGGCATGCACAACGAAGAAGACGAAAATGATGAATTAAAGAAAAGAAAAATTAAATACTAAATACTAAATTCCCAAATTATCCCTCACATATTAGGAAGGATGAGAGGCATGGAGGGTAGATGGGATACTATCTACACAGAAAAATGTCTTCCTTCCATAAGTTGAGGGAAGAAGCCTTTCCTTATACTCTTCCGGTACTTAATGTGAAACCTAATTAGAGAATTTATGTTGATTTTAAATATAAGACCTATTTTATATAATTATTAACTAACAGGCCCATAGTATTTCTTTCGCTTGAGTGGTGTTTTCTTAACAGGAAAAATGGTTGTGTTGAGGAGTTTGAGGGAAGAAAATGGAATCAGAATATAAATCTAAAAAATCTGCCAATTAATGACTTTAGATTGATCATTCCATTCCTTGTCATCTTATTTCTTATGATAAGATCCATCCGACGCAAACCCACTGAGGTACGTCTCATCACCTGAACAAATTAGTTTGTAAGGCTCGCACGTCATGAATAAAAATACGACCGCAGTTGATTAACCTCAATCTTAATTAATTAACATCTTTATGTGAAACAGAAAACTTCATCTTCTCTCCATGTCCCGCGCATTTGTCTTACTTTTAATTTGTTCTTTACTTTGTTTCTTTCTTTTAGTGAAAAGCGAATGGTGAAATCCAAAGGGAAAAAAAACTAAAATGTTTGGCTTATACCCAAATAATCTTGCCTAAGCACTAGTCTTAGGTAAAACCAGATGGGAAGATGCTTAGAAATTACCAGAACGTGTTTTGAAACTTAAAGTCCCTTAAATACTGGGTCTCCGGATATTACTGTCCATTCAAAGTGATGGAAGAATATCAAGTCCTTACCAGTAACCTGCAGCTTGCAGAAAGCAAGCGGGAAGCAAGCAAGGCACAAGATAGCTTATTTTATTAGTAGGGAAGGTTCACATTCGCATACATAGATAGGAGCCAAGCCTACTAATAAAAGTAGGAATTGGCTCACATAACATTATTTGTATATTACAGAATTAAGCAGAAGAGGATGAGCAAGGAGGATAGCAGAAGGTGGTGATGTCAAGGCAGCGACACTGTGGAGGATAACTGAGAGCGCAGACGCAGGACTTGCAGGCAGAGTGGCAGGTTTGTCCGATGTCGTTGCATTGACACTGAGGTGGGTTCGACTTTGTGCAGCGACAGTTGTTGCAGCAGGCCGTGGTGGTGGACTTGATCAAGTAATTGGGTTCGCCGTTGTCCTTAAACATCTCAGCCAGGAAGGTGTTGGCATCGAAGCGAGCCTCCACAGGTGCAGTAGTGAAGGCCATCAGAAACAGAACCACACCCACCTTCATCATCATCGCCTTCTTGCCCAAACCCATATCTTCTCTTCCTCTCTTTCTCTTTGTGCGTCTTGAGTTTTGATGTGTGAAGATATGAGCAGACGGGAAGGCCTATTTATAAGTCAATTTAAGGGATATTATAATTCTGCGTGATTCACAACTGTATATGTAAATTACTACAATATTGAAGGCGAAAAACAGGATAATCATTCCTAATATCATGCGATTCCTAAATTATGAATAATACTCTGTTATTTAAAAGTTTCGCGTGCATTCTAGTGCTATCACGCGATCACCTCAAATTTTGTTTAAGACTGCCTTATTGCTCAGTCCGATGAATGCAGAAAAGGTTGTTTTGAACAGAACAGAACATCAGCTTTCCCATGGTGTAAATGATTTCTCGAAGAGTGATTTTACGAAGTTTAAGATAAGCATATTAGAAGAATTTTATTTTAATTTGTGTAAAAAAAAATTTTTTTAAGGTGTTTTTACTCTATGCCATCTGGAGTATTGTTTCATAAATGTTCTGTTTGTTATCTTTTATATTTATTTTATTTAAAAATTTAATTTAACTAGCTTATAAATTAATACTTCTCTTATCCTAAATATAAAACCCTTTTTGTATTATAATTTATACTATAAAAAAGGTTTTATATTTAGGACCGGAGGAATAGTATTTAACATTATACATGCATATAGTTGGCAAAAAAAAATTATACAGAAATATTTTAAGAAAATCACAGTACATATGCAATAATTGAATAATTTATTTGATTTTTCAATCTATTTGAATTAATTAAGCAACTCTATTAAGCTTATTATTATCAAGATAAAATAAGTGTCCTGTAGATTTAAGATCAATGCGTCATCAATAATTCATAAAATTATAAAATCATCAGTATTTTTGTCCTCCATCGTAAAGAGTATCCGGCAACATCATAACAAGGTGCTCGGTGGGGAATACTATAATTGTGTTTTATTGGGTTTGCGAGAATCTTTTGTTTTTTTCCCTCTTCATATTATCAATTAATTTTTTGTTGGTGATCCTTTTTTTGCACGATACTAAATAAAGGTGAAAAATTTATGGAATTGTGATTAATTTTAGCCAAAATCCTCACTGTTATTACTAAAAAGTTTTTTTAATAACAGTACTGTTACTAAATATTATTATGACATTTAGAAATAATATATTAATTTTTTTAGGATGTTAATCAAAACTGATCTTAACATTAAGCTTAGGAATTAGGAGAGTAAATGGAATCCAAAGACAGAATCAAATGTTTGATCAGGAAAGGCATAATTATAGGGCAATTTACGGGATATCTTTATTGTTAAGATAATAAGATGTGATTTTTTTTTCGGGTGAAAATTAAGATGCAGTTCTTAATTATAAAATGTTTGTCGCGTAAGAGAAGATTCATTCGCAAGGCAACTTAATTTGACAAGATTAATTATACTGTCCCAAAAACTTTATATATATATATATATATATATATATTCTTCTTATTTTTTATACAATATTCTTATGTTATTTATTTTATTGAACATAGAGTTGGGAAATGGGCTTGCCTGAGCCGAGCAAAAGCTACGTGGCTTGGCCCATTAGGACCCAAGTCCCAAAGCCGTGTTTCCCGTAATTTCACATGCTGGCGCACCAGTGGATCCACGTCCACTCCTCCTCAAGTCAACACGCCGATGAGAACTTTATTAACAAGAAGGCACGAGAAACTTGCCCTCAAGTTAGTCCACCTTTTTTATGCACTAAAAAAAAAAAATAGTTCTTAAATATGTCATAAAATAATAGAATTTTCCTATTTTATTTTAAAAAATAATTAAGTTGTTTTTAATATTACACTTTCGATAGCTTTCATTTCTCTAATACTCCTCCGGTCCTTAATATAGGACCCAATTGCTAAGTTGGTTTTGGTCATAAATATAAGACCCCTTTCTCATATTTATTAATTTTCTCTAAATTACCCCTATGGATACTCCATCAACTATAATCAAGTAGAAGATAGAGAGGGGTATTAAGAAAGATGATTATGGTATTTTAGGAAAAACATGTTATAATTTTTATAAGTAACTAACTTACCTAACTTCCTTAATCTAATCAAATTAGTTAAATGGGTCCTATATTAAGGACCGGAGGAGTATCTAATAAGGGAAAAGGTAAAAAAAAAAAATCACATTGAGTATTCTAACAACATTTACCACATTTTTTTTGACCAATTTCTTATATCATGAGCGGAGAGAGATTGTATTATTCAATGAACAAGATAGGGTTTACAATCACACTGAAATCACGTAAACAAGGCCCTGAACGAAGAAGTTCGCAGTTAAAGGTTTTGGTTCCATGAAGATGACAACGTTATTGTTGTGAGGAGTGAGAGGAGAATTTACGGTAGCAGAAGGTGGTGAGGTCAAGGCAATGGCACTGCTCAGGATAACTCTGAGCGCAGGCACAGAGATTGCAAGCAGAAGAGTTGCAAGTTTCTGCCATGTCTCTGCATTGGCATATCGGAGGGATCGTCTTTGTGCAGACGCAGTTGTCGCAGCAGATGCCAGTGGTCGGCTTGGTGATCAACTTTTGTCCCAAGTCGTTCATCAGCACCTCCGCCTCCTCCAGCAATCTGCTCACATCGAAGCCTCCCTCCACGGTGGCCGTCAACGCCGTCAATAACAGCACCACGCCCACTTTCACCATCGCCGCTTTCTTGTTCAAACCCATCTTCTTGTGGACGGGTCAGCATGTAGCCTCGAGGGTCATTTATAGCAACATTTGAGGCATGTTTAATACTACCTCCGGTACTTAATATAAGACCCTATTTGACTTTTATTTTGGTCCTAAATATAAGACCCCAATTCATTTTGTCTTTTATATTTATGTATTTTTTTCCAAGGTAGTCCTTCTAATAATTATAGTTCTAGCCAATATAGTTGATAAGTAAGGATATTTTAAGAAAGACAACACCTATTTATTACAAATAACTAACTTAACTTCTTTCCTTAATCTCCTCAAATTAGTCAACTGGGTCTTATAACTAGAACCGGAGGTAGTATAACGTACAATCCATGCCAAATATTAGTAACGTAAATTACACTACAAACTAAATCTTATATTTAGAATCAGAAATAGTACTCCTGATTCTTAATATAAGAACTATTTAACTAATATAATTAGATTAAAGAAGTTAAGTAAATTAGTTAATTATAAGAAATGTGGTATGTTTTTTCCTAAAACACCATTATCATCTTTCTTAATATCCTCTCTCACTCTTCTACTTAATTATAGCTGAAGGAGTATCCATGAGGGTAATTTAAAAAAATTAATAAATATGAAAAATATATGTTATATTTAGGACCAAAATCAACTCAATAATTAGGTCATATATTAAGAATTAGAGTAGTATTTTTTTATACATGTATAGAATAATATGTATTCTTGTCATTCTTTTATAAGAGTAGGTATTCTTTTTCTTAATAGTAGTCACTTTATTAGATTTATCATATGAATTTATAATTTGACCATTAATTTGTTATTCTTTAATTTATCAGTCCTCACTCATTCTTTTATATTAAATATATGGTGAAGTTAAAAAAATTATTAAATGTTAAAAAAAGTCAATGAGATTTATAAATAATTTTTTATTCCCATACAACGTGTTGTAAGTTTTTTATAAATAAAATTGGAAGAGTATGTGTATTTCTATAAACAGTTTTTTCTTAAAGAGAATAATTTGTACTTGATAATGCTAGGCCTCGCTGTTCACCTAACGTTGACCCCATCATTGCACTTAATCGTCCCTTATATAATAATCCTTAATTGTTTACATTTTAATATCTTTTAGACTGCTATATATATACACACGCGCGCACACACATATGAATCAGATCAAACAATTTTTTGGACACTTAACTTATTTATATATACTTTATTAACCACCCCCAACCCCTCTGATTTTGACTTGTCGTTGTTATATATAATTAACAACTTGCTACTACTTCCAGTTCTAATTATAAGAGTTAGTTGACTAATTTGAAGAGATTACAAAAATAAGTTAAGTTAGTTATTTGTAATAGATAAGTGTTATCTTTCTTAAAATGTCTTTACTAATCAAGTGTATTGGTTAGAACTACTTTTATTAAAAGAACTATCTTAGAAAAAAAATACATAAATACTAGAGACAAAATAGATTGGGATTTTATATTTAAGACAAAAATAGAAATCAAACAAGATTTCATATTAAGGACCGGAGGTATTATATTTGATCATTCCTTTCGTTGTCATCTCATTTTTAATAAGATTCATCCAACGCAAACACACTGAAGTGCGTCGCATAAATGTCGCATCATTAATAAAAATACGAACGTAGTTATTAATTAACATAAATCTTAATTAAAATGGTCATGAAATAGAAAGCTTCATCTTATAGGGAAGATATATAGCTTATCTAATATTAGGGAAGGTTCACATTGACGGACATAAAGAGAAGCAAAGCCTACTAATAAAAGTAGGAATTGGGTCATATAAAAGTGTGTGTGTGTGTGTATTATAAAGCCTTGAGCAGAAGAGGAGCAAGGAGGATAGCAGAACATCGTCAAGGAGAGTATGGGACTTGCAAAATGATCAGTGGCAACGTCTTGCGATGTTAAACATGTAATTCAGGAACAGCTGCGGAGAAAGCCATCAGGAACAGAACCAGAGAACCCGGAGAAGGGGAGGCCTATTTATAATTCAATTAGTTGTCAAATTTACAAAATTAAGATAATTTCACTTCAATAAAATTGGCGTGCTTTCTTGTGCCATAACGGCAGCGAATATTCTCATAATCTTTATTTTTCATTTTCTTATCAGAATTCTATCTTTACCGTTGGATCAAATAATGATGGTTTAGATTTTATACTTTATAAAACTATTATTGTAATATTAAATAAATAGGAGAGGGAAGATGGATATCTTTTTTTCAAAATATTAAATCTGAACTGTCTATTATTTGATCTAATAATAGATATGAGATTTTGAAAAGAAAAAAAAGAAGAGGGGTTT